TTTATATGTCACGATTAAGTTTTATAGTTTACTATAACACGTTTAGAGGAACAAAGTACCTACTTATTTTTGAATCGCGATCGCTGAGTGAATGAGAAATAACAAATTTAGTAGTTAGCGAGGATTTCGAAGCTTCGATGTCAAGCGTGTAATTATTTAATATCAAGATCGATATACCATCGAACGAAATAAAACGATTCACCTGATCGGAATAATTATGACGTGATGTATAATATAACAAGATGGTCGTAGTAAACCTGATTCATAGTACCCACATCATCGTCGTACGAATACGCGACAAATTGCTTAGGATACTAGTTCTTAAATCGTGACCCTTTCCAGTAAATTGCTATAAACTTCAGCTTCCTGTTAACCACGAAGTATGTACATAAATCGTGTCGTCAGGTTTTCTTCTTTGGTTATAGATAGACTACGGATGTTTATGGAAATTCAGATGTTTCTAAAAACAACCGAAGGAACTGACGCTCGATCAAAATTCGTCTCATCCTCTGAATATTACAACGAGTATTTTACTTTGAATATTTTATACATTGGTGCAGATTATACGAAGAAGAAGATGACCAGCACGAGTCGTTTTTATGATTAAAAAGAAATATAGTATCTTAAAACGAACAATAAAAAACAACTCGTTACGTTCGGAGAGATAGAAAAAGCTGTTAAAAGTGGCTCGACAATTATTAAAAAATTATCGTAAAAACCGAAAGTATTATCATTGGGACGAGAAACAGTTTAACGTTTTTCGATATTTTAATATCGCGACGATATTTTTAAAATGACGAAGAGAATCGAACGATACGTATCGGCTCTCCGGTAGAAAATAAAAAATGAAAAAGACATTCGTCGTGTCGTTCTCCTGCAGCCTTCGTACGAACCCTATATATTTTTGTAGATTCTAATTTCTCATAAATTCGAAAACATCCGCAGTCTAGTTATGGCTCCCTTTGCCAAACATCGTGCGCCGTCTAATTTACGAGTTCGTCGCGACGCGTCCGACCGATTGCTCCCCCGTGTAACTTTATGAAAAGGGGAATAAATTCCTTTCAATCTGGCTCGCGTCTGCGGGGCAAGGCTCTAAAGAAAAAAGGAACGAGATAACGAACCATCGTATATACGGTGAAGAACAATGGAACATGGAAGAAGAAGGAATATAATTAAGCAAAATGTGATATTGTACGTGTCCACGAGGAATTTTTCTCTTTGTACTAGCTGAAATATCGATGAATATTCAAGCGCGATGAAACGATACTCGGAAACTCGACGCGTTAAATATTAGGACTTAAATATTAGAAAAGTCAAATTGAGAAAACAGAATTATCATCGAATAATACGTTATAAATTATTCATGGTTGTAATAACGTAGACTTGGCACGATGTTTGATAATGGTACAACTCTAAATTTAGTTTCAAAAGAATTCATTGTATACGAGAAAGAAACGAATTTATGAAAGAGAATTAATTTTAACCCTCTACGATCGGAATTCTGTTTCTCAGAAAAAATTGCAATCGAGCTTTAAAAAAACTCAACCTCGAATGTTAAGGTCCGAAACTTCCAACGCTCGTATATCGTTTATTATTCGAGAATCGATAATATTTCTCAACTTGATACTATTAAATCTTAATGTGAAATTTAAAAAAGAAAAAACTTGCTACTCGTTTTCGCTGTTATACCTAAGAAGAAGAAAGAAGGAGCGCGATGCGAAGGATTCTCTCTCCTGTAAGATAAATTCTCTTCTCTTATTTTTCTTTACCATCGAAAGCAGCGGAGAAACGAAGGACAGCAACAAGTTCAGCGCGAATATTCTATCTGCTAGAAATTTGACTTATTTTCTCCTATTCAGATACGATTCACACTCGGTTGATCGCGCCTGATACATCGCCACGCGCCCCATTCTTCCAAACCTTGTTCAAAATATCCGATAGTGCATCGAGATTTGTAATCCGCGCGCTCGAGTAACTATACATCGCTCAACGACCGACGAATATCATTACCGGCAGGTAATGAAACTTAATCGCGATTTCGCGCCGATTCGACGCGCAACCACTTTCCCCAGTTCATTAGACCGATTTAAGACCGATAATGACACGCATCAAGGAGAATGGAAAATCAAATTTTCAATTTACCGACAACGCGATGTTAAAGACGTTACGGTCGACAGATTCCAAAGTTTAAGTAAAGTTTATAGTTTATCGAAGGAAACCGAGCTTGGCTAATTATATTCGTAGCAACGGTTCTTTTCCAACTCCTCGAACAAATTATTCGAACGCTGCGAGCCATTCTTTCCGGGCACGCTACTTCTGTTTCTCGGTAACTAAGATGCTAGGCTCGTTCCTTATAGAACAGCCTATACCCGGAAGCTTCGGCGTATACAGCATTATCGTGCAAAAGCCTCAGAGATCATCTGTTAGAGGATCTTGTAGTCGCAAGTAAACGCATATTGGCTATAGTCTTAGAATGGCTACTAAACGTACGTACTTTTAAGGCACGTTTCCACATACTGTTACGTGCAAACGAATTTGAAACTAATTCTTTAAAATAGTTCTCTGGACGCAGCTTTTTATGGTAATTCTCGTTTATTGTTTCGATCGACTTACAAAATGGCAATATGAAACGAATACAAGGACGTGAATTTCGATAAAATTCGATTGTATACGTACGTACGCATAGATAAAATATCGATTTAATTCTTCGATTTAATTCTCTCTGTACGATGCAATGACACGATTAAAGCAATGGCAAATGTCTTTTTATTCGTCGGTGAAAACGAAACATTTCTGCCTGGTAACTAAGCTAAGATCTTTGCACCGTGTAACAGCTTTCGTGAATCTTTCGAACATTCTAAATCGACCTGTGAAAAGTACGTCTTCTGCTGCGAATCATACGAGATACAGCACGAGAATCGATCTTCTGTTCGTTTCACTGGCAAAAGAATCCTCGACGCGATTTTTACATCTGTCTATCGCTACCTATCGCTCGTTCTCACAGCAGGGTCATCGCGTAGTTAATAATTCGAGAAAACTGCAGCAAAGTTCGTCGAGGAAAACGTCGATGCGAAAGCGAAGCGTGTACGCTTTTAACGTGCTCGGCCTAGCAAGGTCGGCGAAGAAAGCGACCAAGCAGTCGGAAAGTTCACGATATTGCGTGCGAATTCTATAGACCGTCACAGCGAGATAATAGCGACGCTACCTGGACGTGTACACGTTTCTCAGAGCTTATTACAGGGGACAAGGACACCTCGTCTGTCGTCCCTCTATACGTGGTATGTCTCTGCATACGCGTGCGTGATTGCATTTGTCAATACGATAATCTTTGCGTATTGTTGTGTAATCCCGTAGTTTAGCATCTGTGTGCACGCTGACACACGAAATCCATATGTTTTCGCGTGGTATATAGCAATGTACTGTCCGTAGAAGAGATACCGCATGTGGTAAAGCAGGATAAGCTAAGTAGTAGGTACTAATTGAAAATTAATTTCGTGCGATCGATTAGTAAGAATTATATTATGCGCAAGTAAAGGTAGCCTGGGAAAAGTGCTGTACGGGAGATACCGCAAAGGAACAGTAAATAGAAAAGAAAGAGGAAGACGAACAAGATGGTGATAAAGCAGAAAGAGAGTAGAATAATCCATATTTCCAGATATGGTCGAAATTAGAAAAACGATAACAATAATAATATTACGTGCAATTTTACCGTGCAAATTTATTAGAATTTACAAGTGGTCGAACGCTACAAATTTGAGAAAATGGTTTGAGATTAGGTGCTGAAAGAAGGATGCATGGCCACCCGATGGTTCTAGGTGAACGAAGAAGATTAAAATCATAAAATAAAGAAACGGAGAATTTTTAATCTTAATCTTTGCGTTTCTCTTTTAAAGCTATCCCTGATACATCTAATTGTAATCTTATTTGGAGTTTGCTGCTTTACAGGCTATTTTTCACTCCTAAAAAAATAACAACGTGAATCTTCGCAAAAATTAAATTAACTATAGCATTTTATTATACGGTATATTATATAGTTAAATATAAGATCGCCGATCAATTTAGAAATCAAACTAAAATAGAAACATCTTGAACGTCAAGTTGCAATCGTCATTTATAAATGAACATTTAAAACTCTCGTTTACGATCTTTCGTTACAATCGTACGATAGTAAACTCTTTGTTACCTTCCTATTCCTGTAATGATCATTATATACGAAGAATCGTTTTAGTGCTAAATTGATTTATGCTTCTAACGCTATTCCAGCACTATTTTCCCTCGGAACTTTTCGAATTTCAGTTTCGTTCGGGAAACACGTGTACCTTCGAGTCTGACTAATTTTACGATCACGCTATATCTCTTCCAACAACAGTACGTACTTGCGTACCTACGTATAGTGTACGGTATGTATAAAGCATATCTGAGCACGCGAGCCAGCTTGTCGCGCTTATTCCGCTTGTGCTTGCCGGTATTCACGCTAACGACGAGCTTGTGTTCCCTGTCCGTTGAGAGGAGACGCGCCGTTTAATCTCGGCGAACGAAGAGCGTAAAAATCCAACACGAAACGAACAACGTATTAGATACCGACACGAGAGGCGGCTGTTTGTCCTGGCCGAATCGAAGCGTTTGGGCAAAAAATTGGAAAAGAACCAGGGTGAAGATCAGATTTCTCGCGAATACGAATTCTGTGAATTACAAATATCAAGAACTTTCACGAGGTTTCGCCAATCTTGATTAATATACGCGTTCCACGTTCGTTGAAAAGTCGAAGTGGATTTACTGCGATTGAAGATCGTATCGTATAATACTACTAGAGATTATGTACAAGATAATGCGATTAAAAACGATGATAATTTAGAAACTTCTCCTCTGTCTACCAAGCATAAAAAAAGAACGATTTTGGACTGTGCTATTTCCTGCGTATTTTTAGTACGTTATCCGAAATCTATATAAAAGTTTAAACGAATGCATAGGGAGAAAAAAAAAGAGCAGCATGCACTTACCTTGATACCACTGCGTCCCTGCTGTTTCAAAAGAACATTCTCCGGCTTCATGTCGCAATGAATGATCCTGTTCTTGTAAAGAGCGTCGAGGCACTGTAGCAGCGAGTGCGCGAACTTCTTCACGAGCTGCATACTGAAGCCCAGGAACTTGTTCTTCTTGATCAGCTCGTACAGGTTAATACTGAGCAATTCGAAGGTGATGCACATGTGGTTACGGAACGTAAACGAATCGAACATGTGAATGATATTCATCGTGTCGTCCTTATCTTGTTCGCGTAGCTTCCTCAATATCTTCACTTCTTCCTGTGCCTGACGATGGAACCTTTTCTCGTTCCTCACCATCTTCAGGGCAACGTGCTCCTGTTTCTTGTGATCGTACGCTTTCACAACCTGACCGAACGACCCTTTACCGATCACCTTCAGCACCTCGTACCTGTAGGCCACGTGATCGTGAGTCACGTGGATATAGGAACCATGTTCGTTGTCGTAGCCGTTGTTGTGAGGCCGACCGATTATCCCCGGCCTCTTCTTCGCGTTCGCCCCGATAAAGTATATATGCCGATAATTAAAGATCTCGTGGTGCTCGTAAGGCGTCAGCTTATCCACGTAAATCTTCAGCACGACATCGGGCGTGGCGGTAATCGTCTTCGGCTTACGTATACCACTGCCGCAGGAACTTCCGTTCGAACATCCATTCTTCACCACCAACGCGGTGCTCGATTGACTGTTTGACTGCGTATGCTGAGACTCGTGAGCTGTGGTGGTGGTGGTGGTGGTGGTATGACTGAAATTATGACTGGAATTATGAGTGAAGTTATGACTGGAATTATTGTGACTCGAATTATGACTCGAATTGTGACTCGAATTGTGGCTCGAGTTGTGGCTTGTGTGCGAGCTCAGGCTCAAGTTTAAACTTTCCGAGTTCCCGGTCAGGCTGAGCAGGCTGTTGTTAGCGCTGGAACTTAAGCTCGGCAGATGAGTACCAGCCATGTGACTGGTGCGGGTCAAGTAACTAGGCGACGATTCACTGGCAGACTGCTTCAAAGCTAACGTGTTACTCTTCAGGGGTGGTAGATGATTGCTTTCGCTGGTCGGAGCGGTGAAAGTCTGCGTTGAGATCGCGTTCGCGGGTACGAACAGTTTTGGTCTAGACCGGGGCATCTCGAACGTGCTCGAAGATAACGTTAAGCTAGTCATTTGTGTCCATTTGACGATGATGTTGGAGCGTGTGTTTCGTCCCGGGCAGACCAACGGGTCGTTTATCGAAGGAAATGAAACAAGCAATCATTGGATGATTACTCGTACCCCGATACGGATCGATAAGGTGTCTTCTTTCTCTAAGGTCTTCTTTCTCTCGTGATTTCGGCTATTATTATTTCTTCTGACGTGTCACCGTGTATTGTCGTTTGGATAAAAAACATATTGGTTCGTTGAGATTAATACGCTAGTTAAACGCGATTGTTATTGCTCACCTTACTTCGATCTTCCTTCCCGTTTTCCAGAGTTCGCAGATCTACGACGGTTTATTTTATATTTCTATACAATATATATGTATAATATAGGAGTAAATCTAGTCAATCTGCCGATCTCGTTAACTAGCTTTTCGCGTAAGTTAGTTCGCCTCGAATAAATTAATCGACTTAAAAGGATTTAATGCGCTTTGAATCTCAGTCTCGTTCTCGGTGTCTGCTGAAATGAAACGTGCGAAATGCTACTCCTTTTCTTTCTATACTTTGTCTCCTCGACGACTATTTAGTGAACCTTGAAATTATTAATTAACTCTCCTAAGACTTTACGAAGCATATTACGAACAAACTGCGTTGCGTGCTCGATAAATGCGCATTAATTCTTTAGAAGAGCGTGTCGAATAAGATTCGATGCCTGATGCCGATGAAACGGTCGCACGTGCGGCTTCAAATACAATCGATCGTCTAAAAATATTTCGTCGAGAAAGGAAAGAAGAAAAAAAAAGACTTCTCGATGTAAATGCAGCGGACTAGAAATTGTGATGATTCTTCTTGTTGCAGCGAGCGCGAGCGACGATCGTCGATCGTTAAAAAAGCTCGACGTGGTCGTCGACGGCTATATTCTTTCTTTCTTTCTTTCTTTCTTTCTTTCTTTCTTTATTTCGCGTGTTCGCCGCTTTCGTTGTCACCCCTTCGTGCGCGGCCTCTGTACGCGGCTTCGAACGATGAAAATAAGAGGAACTATGAACCCAACACGACTGACGTCACTTCTGACTACCATGCACAGCTGTCTACCCCCCTCAGAATTATTCATCCGACTTGTATTAATTCCCTTCGTCGCTTGACCCTTCGCTCGTTATCACCAGCCAGTGTCTCCACCTTCTTTACCGCATTGGAACGACGCGATGCTCCTTTTACCTTCGTACGAAGTTTCGAACGTCTAATTTTATAATCTATCAAGCACGAGGGCAAACGCATCGTGCGAAAACTGTCTACCACCTCTCTGACTGGAGGTTATTGGCACCAGGCCGGCCAACACGAACGACTTCGTTCCATTGAATATTTTCTTTTTCCCTTTTCCTCTTTCTCCTTTTTTTTCCAGTTCCTTCAACCGACAAACTTTCGAATAGAATGTACGTCAAGCTCTGTCAAAGTAACGACATCGTCGTTTTTCGTACAATGGATGTTCACTCTCGACGAGATTCACCTTTCTTGAAGCGTAATAACCGTTAATCAGAACAGCCATATACGATTCGATTCGAACGATTTGTCGCTAAGAGGATTCTAAAAGTAAATCGTCCTCGTCGAATGATCGTTGATAATCGATGGAAAGTCATTCGATGGTCATGAACGTCGTACACGATGAATATCTTTTTTAGCAGCAGAATTTTATTGACGGATTTTTATTAGAAAAGTACAGCTTCTCGAGTCTTCGAGAGTCGGGCAGTTAATTATTCGTATAATCACGGACGAACGTGTTCTATTTACATGCGTCGACATTCCCCGTGGTTCGTAGCTAAATCGTTCACATTATATCAATTCGAACGAAGATTGCTCGCGATAGCAACCCGGCGAACGTTCGTCGTCGTCAAATCGTGCCGAATTTTTTCGATTGCAACATATCATATTATCACACCTACGACGACACTGCAAAATCGAAATCGAGCCGCACCGCGTTGCCAGACAATATGCTGAATTTCTCACACGCTCGGTCGTGGACCCCGTGCACGCATGAAAATCGAAGCAAACACCGCGAATGCGATGAACGTGGCCGCACCTTGATAACTGTTTACAAGCGAAACGTCCTCTCTCAGCGTTAATCGTGAGAAACTTGTTACTTTCGTCTCTTTGTTCTCGTTCGTTAAGACGATAATAAATGAATAAATGCAAAAGTTGGGTGGATGTTCAGGAACGACAGATTATTTTTCATCGAAACAAAGGCAAGCACGAAACGAAGTTCGTCGCTTCTGGCACACTGACTGGCTGGCTGGCTAGCTAGCTGGCTGACTTCTCTTTCTTTCTCTCTCTCTCTCCCACCCTTCCTCTTTCTCCGTCCTTCTCCTTTCTCGCGATTCTCCTTATCTATCTCTCTCACGCCGCCACCATGTTTATTCTTTTTATACCCCCGTTAAACGTTGTGTCAGGACGGTTCAGAAGGGGTAGACGACCAGGCAGAAGGATGAACGGCCAGACTAACTGGCTGATGCACGATCTCTCGCGTATTTAGCTGTCGGTTTTGAAAGAAGAATAAAAGCGATACCTCGCGGGAGAGATTTTTGCGAATCTTCGGCGGTTAGACGACGTAGCATGACGCTTCCGGTGGTAAAGATCCCTCTATCGTGATTTCTACGATTATCGAGATGCGATTGTCTATCATTTCTATGGTGGATTCTGTGTACCTTCTCTATCTATATACTTCGAATACAGATGTTTTTGTTATCCCTTTCCCTTGTACTGAACGTTTGACGTGTACCAAGCAAGTTGCACAGTCAATTCCGAAGAACGATAGGTACGCTGCCGAGGCTGCATTTAATAGCACTAAATTCTTTTACTTAATTCCGGCACAACTTTTCACTGAAAAATCCACACTCGCTGATTCGCGAACCACTCAAGGCGGGAGCACCATTACTCTATTCATAAAGAAACGCCTGCTGCGACACCCACGCATGCACTCTCACGTATACAGACAGTTGGTGCTTGCCGCACGCACAGGTGTCCACAGTCCATACGTATTCCTATATCAAAGACAGAGGGAGGACATAGACTAGACTGTTACTTTAGATGATTCGGTATCTCTTCCACGTTTTAGTTCCCATTTTCTCCGTGAAGTGCCTCGCGATATTATTTCACTTAAATTCGTCCAATGAGTCGAGTTAGAGGAAGTAAATAAAACCACGTATTCAAAATATAGGGGAAACAAAATCATAATCGTGAAATATTAAAATGAAAAGTTTCTAGCTATTGATCATATCGTTTCACCACGTGTGTCAAGTTCAGCAGCTCAATTTAAACATTTTCTACAATGAACAAAAGTATCCCTAAAGATTATAATTTCAGAGTAACTACTAACCAATAGCTGGGGCGCCATCTGCGTTATATAAACGGAATTATTAATCTTTTCTGATTCGATCTGTTCAACAAATCAATTCCATTATTTGATCTTCTATTCGAATAAAGAGTCTTTTTAGCATAGAAAGTTTTATATAATATAATTCCGTTATACATATTACGCTATTAAATGTCACTCGATGTACATCTTTGTATTGTGCAATTCATGACGGAAATTCGTTTCCAAAGGATAGAAAGAGAGAGAAGAAGTGGTCGAGTACAAAAACCACTGACGAGTATCAAGAGGGCAGCATGTACCAATGTGAACGTATATTAGCATTGTCTTCTTCAACCTAGCTTAAACTGAAAACAGTCAGATATTGGCATCATTTTAGGCCGTTAAGAATACCTTTTTATGCTTACAACTCACATCACTTTAAACGTCGTAATAACACATAGTGAATTCAAGATGAATTTAAATCCTAAATCATTTAAAGAAAAACGTTCGTTCGGTAAGCATACGTTTTCTTATATTAATTATAATATCTTTATAATTAAAATTATCAGACAAATCTAAACAAACGGCACAGCGTATCTGCGATGTTTTGCTTACTTTATAGCTCGATATACTTTTATTTTATTGATAATATTGAGCCATGTACCCTTCGTAACAAATGAATAATATCTTGTACAAGAGTAACATTCGTTTAAAGCTGCGTGTAAATATATCTTTAAATTAATTTTAACAAATTAAATAATATTAAAAATTACATCCAGAAATATCATATTATCTTTTGTGAAAGATTAATAATCTTTAAAAATTCGTTCATAAAATTTAGCACAAAGGTCTGCCGATGTGGAATTAATTAGACGACAACATCCAAATAAGATACCCATTGTTGTCGAAAGATACTGTGGGGAGAAACAATTACCTATATTGGACAGATCCAAATTTTTAGTACCCGACTTTTTGACAGTGGCAGAGTTCGTTAAAATTATTAGGTATATTTTTTAATATTTTCTAAATTATTTACAGAACTAATATACAACTTATAGGTAATAATATTTATCGATAATAACTAATAGACGCAGACTGCAGCTACATCCGACACAGGCATTTTTCCTATTAGTAAACCAAAGAAGTATGGCAAGCGGTAGTATGACTATGGCACAACTGTATCAGAGAGAACAAGATGCAGATGGCTTCCTTTATGTAGTATTCGCTAGCCAAGACGTATTTGGGCATTAAATTCCATCATTTTAGTTTACAAGTAAGTTTAAATTATTTGGTGTCAAAAATATTTAAGATTACTTTAATATCTTATCATTTTTAATTATAGGTAAAAATAATGTTTTTGTGGGATACGCCGCGTTCTAAATACTTTTAAGAACTCTTAGGAAAAATTTTAGATCTATCCTGACCTATGTCTGCCATCAACTGGATATGCAGAATATTTGTGATCGACTTGCAGTACCTGCTGAAATAATTAACGAAACAATCAACATTGACATTTTTGTGTAAAACTATCATGGTGCTTTGGTCTTTCAACATATATATCAGTTATGTTTCACATAAGTTACAGTATAAGATTAAGTTTATTGCTAATAACAGGACACACTTTTAAAATTCTTTAATAGTTACAGACAACAACTATAACAACCATTAGTCTTAATAGGTAAGAAAGTTACCTATATAATATTTTTATCTAGTATCATTAATCTCAATTTGTTTACTTGTGTATTTGTCTTATGTATCTAATAGATTATAATGTATAAGGAGGGAGTAGTACTACGTAAACAATATAGTAACAAGTAGCGACCAGTTTATATATAACAAACTGTAAAGTATATTTACAAACAAAACTGGAATCAAATTATTCTATATACGTTTGACTTTTGCTACTGTGCAAATTATGTAATAGCTATTATTTATATTCATCATATGCCTGTTTATAGTTTATGTACGCATCAGACAAATTGTTAATAGGTATATGGAATCTTTGAGAGTATGTGAAAAAATGACTTAAATTACTTAAGGTATCTATAAATGAAAATATCTTCTCCAGTTAATGTATTCTGTTCACAAAATACTGAAACAGTAAAGAAAGTGTTCATATAATTACACAATATACCATGTGTATTGATATGTGATAATGTTATTACACTCGTATCAGTTTTACTAAATGTATTTGCATTATGAAATTCAATTGGATTATATTGGATTATATATATATATATCTACTGATATATATATATATAGGTATATATATATAGGTGTGTATATATATATATATATATTATATATATATTATATATTATATATATTTTATATATATATATTATATATATTATATATATATATATATCAGTAGATATATAATAATCGTATTATTAAGTGCATAATTTTATATACATATATATATAAAATAATGCACTTAATAATACGATTATTATCTTCTACTATTTGATACTTGTAACTTATGACAATTGTCTTGAATTATGTTTTAAGTTTGAAAAGTTATAAGCGCACTTATCTTTGATCTTCAGAGAAGTAAATTAAATAAGAAACAAAAGTACCTGGTATCGTAACTAAGAGTGAAAATAACAATCATTGTATCAATGAGGCAATTCTATAAGACTTAACAATTCAATACCATTTTCAGTTTTACTATTGTTATCACTATCAACATTTTACTACGAATCTTATTTACCAATACGAATAATTAATAAGAGCTGATATCCCGAATTGTAAGAAAAGAACCTGCTAACAATATGTAATCATATAATATTATTTTTAGGCAATAAGTCGTGATTAATATTAATTTGATACGAATTGAGTTAAAATTTACTTTGTTTACATTATATTTTTCATGTGTGATTAATAAAAAAGCGTGGCTTTCTACAAACATTTTTAAGTATCTATAAAAAATATAATAATGGTAAAAACAATAAAAGTGAGCCCTTAATTCACAGATAGATGGATATTTCAATAAAGATGAAATTTTAGTAGTATATTAGTGATATTATCATAAATATTGGTAATATTAATGATACGCTTTATTAATACTTATATATATGTATATATATATATAAATATATATATAAGTGTTAATACTTATACATAATGAATTTATGTATAACATCTATTACATAGAAAATTGTTTGCAATAAATAACGTTTTGCAATATATCCAATGATTTCGTACCAAATTTGTATTAGATATTTTCAATTTTTTAACGCTAAAGCTTACGTTAGGAACTCATATATGTATCCTGAAATTTAATCCTTTTATACGAGATAGGATAATAAAGAAATTTAAATATAAATTATGGTTATATGGCAACTTCCTTTACCATCATGGCGATACTTCCTGAAAACAGTTCTTAAACTTACCGAGGATATGGCGCAACGTACAAATTCTTCAACAAAGATTCGAAATCGTGAATCTGTATACAACCGCGTATCGATGGCAGCAGATGTATTGTCGAGTGGCTATAAAGGTGTGCGGTGGGGTTAGGCACGGGGGGGAAGGAGGCAAAGGAAAGGTAAAGGTTAGAAGAGGTTATGAACTCTAACCCACGGATGGTTGACGAAGTCTAGTTGTTGCTATGAACTGTCCAAATGACACATAGTCAAATCTATCGTCGTTATTAATAACAAAGGTAAGTCCGTACAAAAATTACGTACTTTTTAGTATTTAGCTTTGTGTTATCCTTTCGTCGATAACGATGCATGAAATCCGAAACGTTGACTCGCCCACATCGAATCAATCTGTGCACGTTCCTTCATGAAATTAAATACTGTAAAATGCATATTTGCAGGTTTCTCCGCAATTCGATTGTTAGTAAATAAAATACTATTATTTTTCCTTAAGTATAAAATAATAATTGTATATTTTGACAATATCATTATGAAATCTTGTAACTCTGTTGATAATAACATTACTTTTTCCGTTATTCTTTTTTACATTCAAAAATTTTCAATTTAATATTTTATATTTATTGTACAACTAATTCAAACGTTGCAATGTAAAATATTTGTTTGTAAGCGAAATAACTTTTAAATTCTTTTCTCATATCCTCATATATTGCGAAACTGAAAAATAATGAATATACCTAAAAATTATAAGAAAATAATAAGTTTGTCTATCTTTTAGAAGTTAAGAATTTACGTCATTATAAATTCGCAGATAACAATAAAAAAATTGATTATGATAAACAAAAGGGGAAAGAATAATGCGTGATTAGTAGTGCAATTTTAACGCAGCAAGTGGGATTACAAGATAAATCTGTGTCGATACGGTGATCAAGTAGGTAGGAGGTAACCTTCGGACCCACAAGCGACCTTTACCTGTGAAGTCCGGTCGTATAGATAGAAATAATTACTCTCCAATGACTATTCTTCTTCGCTGATGCTCTTCCAAGAAATCTTTAGCTAACTTGAAATGACCAATCGAAAGGTTATAAGTCAACATAATATATTTAAAAGATGCTAATTTAACCGACAAAAGTAGAATCCATATTTTTAATAAATTAATATATCGATTAAAATTATATAAGATTATTGTTATAATTATTTACAGTTCATCCAAAATTTGAGTCTATTTTTATTTTGAAATATAAGGTGCATACGTTTGAAATAAAAATACATTCAAGATAATTCGTTCAGGTAAAGTCGTAACTTTTTTCCTACGTTCCAGTTTCAAAATTTTCACATATCTAGAACGAAAAGATTTTTAAATATCGAAAATTTTCTATCGAAAATTTTAATTCAGTATCTGTCTTCTAGTCTGCAATTTATTTATAATGTACACAATATGTTTCTCTAAGAAGTTTCACACCGTTAATAGATATCAGATTGTAGTTTCGTTAGTTAAAAGAACATTATGTTGTACGTGCACGTTAACGTAAATGATTCCCCTAATATTCATATCTGAAAGTAATGGTGCATAGGAATATTTGCTGGGTCATGATATGCATTTTTAATATAAATTTTTGCCACTAACTGTTCGTGTTTGACCTATTCTCGTTCGACGTTGCGACCTCGAGCCTCAACCGATAAGTCATCACGGGCGTGTATTACGTGACATAACCTGTAACGCTCGTCGAGAAGCCACTATGCGGTCCTTTACAGCGAATGCTCTCGCTCAGGTAGAAAAGCAGGCAAGCGGGGCGAGAATGCACCTGGCCGGTGTGTCTTGGCGGTATACAAGAGAGTGACCTGCCAACCTGCCAGTACAGCGAACGGCCTGGCTGCGTTCACCTGTGCAAGGTTGCCTTTAAACTTCAGACGTGGTGTTTTTGTGCGCGAGAGCGCTCATACCGAGTAAAAAGATTTCGCATATATACTGCGAATGTGTCAGTTTATCGTGTTCCCTCGTCGTTTGATTTATTAAAAAGTTGTTTTTTTGAATATATATTCGAATAACGAATATATATATATACATATATTCCGCGCGTATTACCGCGTGGCTAGCTACGTTATATTTTCAGAACTGTGCGTGACCTGTGAGAGCGCCACCGCCGACACACGCAAATGCGGTGATACAGGTCGACCCAACAGGTAGTGTATTGTGCGTACCGTCCTCGAACTTTAATGTAAGACACGTCGCGTGTTTTCTAAGGTCGGTCAGGAAAATGCAATTCGTTTCATAAAATGTTTTAAAACGATATATTCATGACTATATATGATAAATAAAATTATAAGGAATTAATTTATTTTAAAAAATTATAGTTTTGGATTCTGGCTATACTTCTTGTACTTTCAATTAAGATTCACCTTTTATCCATTAATAACATATTTCCGATTGTTGTTTGGCGGACTGTTCATCACGGTGCATGAAATACTATCGAAAACAGGATCGTCGAAATGTAAACGATGAAGGCGGCCGCGATAAAATTTGTTAATAGTTTATAATGACACGTGTCTAAACGGGTCAATGGCTCAAGTTTGAAAAAAAGAAAAGACCGACAGGTGTCATATTACTATCGTGAAATTCTTGATCGCAAAATGGAATGACGTTGAATCTCATGCATGACACTTCCGTGAAATCAGATACGTGTGTTATTATTGATCATAAAGATAAAGTAAGTATTGTGTGTATACAAGTTGATGGCTTGTATGAAAGAAATTTGATTCTAAATGTAAAAAAATTTCTAAAAAGCACAAACGTATTTTCGTACGTTCGAAAGTAGCTGTGGTTATTCGGTTGAAAGCTTTATCGTGATTAGAAAGGTTGTGAGAGTACGCTTACAGAGAGAGTACGATGCATAACGAAACGTAAGGTCCAAGAATGTTAAGTATTTTGGAGCAACGGTACAGGCATCGTTTTCTCATGTTACTGCACTGACAGTGGTGACGAAGTCGGATCACGAGTGTATGGAAATGGACCATTCGCTCTATGACAGCCAGTGTAGCATGGCTATGGTATCGGCATGCGCTTAACCACGTAGCAACCTACGAACCGAACAACTCGGGACCATCTCTTTCACTTCTTAAAATGGTAGGGGGAAAGGGTTGCGGCAGGTAGGGGCGGACGGCAAATGCTCCAGTTTTCATTTTTATACCGCGTCGACGCTTAGGCCTTTAAACGATACCTTCTATCTGCCTAGATCAAATCGGATTGTACATGATCACGATTTATCCGATCCTACTCGATGTAATGCTACCAATATCTGTGGAGCATTATGCAATCTTCATAGAAAAGATTTTTTTTTTTTATGTATTCTTTCAGTCACATTAAAGCTAGATCTTTCTTATACAATTGAATAATGTTATTAGTAAATTATTTTATGTTACAAGCTTACAGGTTATATTGAAGCTAGTAAATTCTCTTGCATAACAGTAACAAGTTTGGAAATAAAACGAGCAAATTTCTATAAGTGAATTTCACAAGCAAGCCAGCTGTTTGTGTTATTTACCGTAAAATTGTAAAAATTGTTTAAATTTTATAAGCTGCAATTTACCTCTGATAATTTGATATTATTTGTTTGTAAATTATTTTGTAAGAGGGTGCTGATTATTGTGAAAGGAACGGTTACTTAATTGTCTATTTATTTGAATATGAATGTAAAATTATCATTGTTCTTTCAAAGATATGTATCAACAAAGCGGAAAGATATTAATTTATGAATTCTATACGCAATTTCCTTAAACAACAAGTGGTTTGCGAGTATTTGCGGTTGTTTAAGATATACGTAATATAGATATGTATAGTGACGTCACCATAGGAATATTTTATGTTTTACGAATTGTACAATTATGTAAGTATCTTTATTTGTTATTTTTGCAGAAAGAAATGGACAGGGATCATAGGGAACCGCATGATCACGATAATTTAAATGAAAACGAGGAGGAACGAAAAGTAGGAATGGATTTCCGTAATTTATCTCGTCACCATGGTATGGATCATGTAGCTGATGTTGAAACAGAGGTGTTTATTTCATTTTTTAATTATTTAAAAATTATTATCCTAATCCTTAAATGTTCAAATTACTTTCTTGAGATTATTTAACAACAACTTTTTATTTTTATTACAGCGGGATATGGAAATTGATCAAAACGATCGGGGTGAAAATTTACAAGACGATAAACTAGATCAGAATGTAGGAAGAAATTTTCACAGTTTAGCGCATCATCCCGCTGTGGTATAATTTCGGTGTATTAATTTTTGCAGAAATTAGGAACAGAACTTTTAAGATACTTTTTATTAATTGTATAATGAACTATATATTTTTAGAGAGACATGGAAAGGGATCGAAATAATCATGTAGACAACGTACATGATGATAAAGTTGATCACAAAATGGGACGAGATTTTCGTAATTTGAGTTCTCACGCAGGCATTGTTCATTTACACTCCGGAATTGAACATTTAAATAATGTTGATGTAGAGGTAGGATTTTCATCTATTTGTTTCTTAATTTTTACATTGTTCGGAATATTTGCTTCACATTTCATTACTTTTCAGGTAAAATTAGCAAGAGATGTCCGTGGTTCTTTAGGTTTGGGACTGTCATTAGAATTATGCGTGGTTTGTGGGGATAGGGCTAGTGGAAGACATTATGGGGCAATAAGTTGCGAAGGTTGTAAAGGATTTTTTAAACGTAGCATTAGAAAACAATTGGGTTATCAATGTAGAGGAAGCAAAAGTTGTGAAGTTACCAAACACCATAGAAATCGATGTCAGTATTGCAGGCTTCAGAAATGTCTTGCAATGGGAATGAGAAGTGATTGTAAGTTTATTTAAGATACTGAATGAAGCGTTCGGTTTTTTAATTTAATTTTAAACAGTTTTATAATTGTTAACATATTGTACTATAATGTTACAGCTGTTCAACATGAGAGAAAACCAGTGTTAGGCGAATCAGCAGGAACAAAAGTAGGAAATAGAAGTCCTAGGGTTAAACCTGAACCACAGCAATCAGTATCCGAGACTCCTCCAACTTGGGAACAACCTGAAAGCCCCAGTATGGAAGACCAAAGCAGTGATAGTGATCTTAGTGATGCATTAACATTAGCAAGAGAACGTTTACTTATTTCGCATGCATTAGATAGTATGGCTAAACTTATTGGAGATGTATGTTTCATTTATATCAGGCAAATCTTTGTAAAATATCTTTAAATGTTTTTGCGACTTTTATATAATTTTATTATAGAGTGTTAATGGTTCAAGCGAGCCAGAAGAAGAATGGACTGGCCAATTAATTTCCGAAAGACATACGTTATTCGAATTAAGGGCCCCAAGCCCAGCTCCTGCGTACTTATCGATACATTATATTTGCGAGAGTGCCGCTAGATTACTTTTTTTGTCAGTTCATTGGGCCCGAGGAATTCCGGCATTTCAAGCATTACCGTGCGTAAATAAAGAGCATGATATTAATCAGAATGATACATGTAAAGATACATTGGATAAACTTATTAATTTTTACAGATCTGAAGTTCAAACAACGTTAGTGCGCACTTCCTGGGGACAGCTTTTTACTTTAGGACTTGCACAATGTGCATACACTTTATCCCTTCCCAGTATTCTAACATCAATAATAAATCATTTACAAGCTAGTATTGCACAGGAAAAAATTACAGCTAGTAAAGTGAAGTCTGTCACAGAACATATATGTAGACTACAAGATTGTGTTAGCTCACTTCATAAATTACAAGTGGATTCCGTTGAATACGCGTACCTTAAAGCGTTGACTCTTTTCAGTGCCGGTAAGTAAAGAATGCTCCATTTATACAAAAGTTGTCTATTTTTAAATTGAAATTTTTATAGACAATGTCTTAGCCGGCGTGTGGCGTAAAAAGGTTGAAGTTTTACAAGAAGCTGCATGGACAGAATTACAACAACGCGTAGGATCCAACAGGTTACCGCGCCTTCTTTTAAGGCTCGCACCACTTCGTTCGATTAACCCTAGGGTCTTGGAAGATTTATTCTTTGCTGGTCTTATCGGTAGGGTAAGCGTAGCTAGTGTCGTGCCTTATATTCTTACTATGCAAGATTACAAAGCTGAACCTGAAAGTCATATGGGGTGACAATTACTAACTGTGCAATGTAAATCGTGACCTAAAAAAGTGATATCTATAAATACATACATATGTTATATATATATATATATACACATATACGCGTTAGCGCTAAATGACGAATATTTTTATACATTGAGAAAGGAAAATGTAACGAGGCAATGTTGATTTTTATTTTTCATAAAAGAATTATAATTCTCTCTCTCTCCCTATACATATATATATATATATATATTTCTCACAAGCCTCTTTTTAAAGTTGTTAAAACTCAGGGTAGATGTGTTTTAACTTGTTAATCAGATGTAATATTTAGCTTAAAATATTTCAACGTTTAACATTTTTTTATTTATTATAAATTGACTACCTGTTGTACAAAACTTTCCGTCTTGCACAAAACGTTGTATTTGTAAAAAATGTTAATAGTAACATATTTATTATCAAAAATATTGTTATCATTGCTGTCAATATAAACTCATCCTTTCATTAAAATTACAAACAATGTTACAATATCATACGTGACTAATTATCACTTGATCAAAAAGCAGAAAGAAGCTTTAATTTCAAGTTTTTTAAATAAAAATATATACCTGGAAAGTTTTGTATTGGCATGTATTATAAAAATTATTATTAAAAATATTATAAACAATATTATTATACTTATAATTTATTAGCAGTGAAGAAAGATAGCTCTTTGCTCGAATTAATAATCTTTTACTTCATCAATTCTGCAGTTTTTTATTATACGTATAATATTCTAATTATTTTTACGTAAAAATGTTGAAAAATTGTAAAAAAATTTCAGAAAAATTTTTTTTTCTGCCACATATACATTAAAATCTTCGCAGAAGTTTAAAACGTTAGCTAAATTATTTCTTTATGATCACTGCATTTTTCCGTCCAAAAAATCACTAACGTCTTAGTTTTGATAAAAGAGGAGATAATTCAATATAACTATCAGTACAAACAAATTACATATTTCGTTATAATTTTAATGACATAGTAATTTTGTTAGATATGAGTTGACATATGCACACTTTTTACTTATTTTTCTAGAAAATAATCATTGCAAATATGATATATTTCTAGACTGTGTTTTATTGTAGATTAAGCAAAAAAAGATGCATCATATTTAAAATGCCCATAAAAAAATAATACATCGTGCAATAATACTAATTTGTGCTGCATTCAAGAAAAAAATATCAGATCTGTTTTATTTTCAACAAAATAGAAACGGAATTTTCTTAAATATCGAGTTTATTATGCATCGAGTATTATTTACTTCAAAATGGACAATAATAGTATATTTTTTATGAAAAACAAAAACACTTAGCAAGTTAAAAGAAATAAAGAAATAAATATGTATGCGTTTACTTAATAAATTGTACATTTTATATCTTACTGTTAATTATTGTAATTATATTCATATAATAGAATATAAATGTAAGCGCATATATTATTTGTATGTACTTGAAAATTATGAAATATTAAATTAGCACTAGTAAGTTAGGATAAAAGTAATGCTATATATTTAATGTTATTAATAACATTTAGAATATGGATATTTTTCCGAGTTATACTGTAACGAATGTGCGAATCGTTAAATATTTTTAAACTGTTCTCAATTGTTAATGTTCATAAAAAGGTTTTGCTGATTGAGATTTCCATAAACATTTTTCTGATTAATAGGTATAAGTACCAAGTACAATATTTCTAGCAATGTTTAATATTTAGTTAAACATAAGTATTTTCTCTAATTCGATAATCCAAAGATTAAACCACAATACGTTTTCTTTTCAAGATATTCTGTAAATTATATCTGTTGATTAAAATCTGATGTAATTTTTAGTAACTGTTAACAGTACATACCGCATACTTTAATAAAAGTAATAACGAATTTTTCATGAAACGATACTGTGGTGCATTGTACCAATAACGATAATGCCGATAGTAATTTAATTTTACAGCATCATAAGTGATATTGACTGTAATACATAGAAATTGTTATTCGTATATTATGAAAGAACTTATTCATTGCATCACACGTCACGTACAATCTTTTAATGACAAATTGTATCAATGGAAATTATCTTGTTGGCGTTCATATACTTTGCGTGATACAGTTTTTATTTAATGAAATACTTAATGGACAATATGATTAGAAACGATAAGACGAAAGAGAAACCTGTATGTAAATATAAAATGTGCCTGTACGAAAAGATATATTTATATTAAATGTAATAATTTTGTAATTATCTAAGTGATAAAAATGCAAGAGACCTGAAGATTGTTGCCCCCTTCAGTTTTATTACATCGAAAAATTATGTATATACATGCATACATGTCTAATTGTAGTGTAACATAAAATAAACCTATAATAATAATAATAATAATAATTGAAAAAAAAATTATTAGCTCGTAAAGCCGTATTTCATTTAATCACTCTGTCGTCACTTTAACGTAGTAGATTTTTTAAAAACTAAATTTCATAGAAATTATAAAAGGGGCCCAAAATACTGACGTATGGACCTAAAAAATTATAGCGTAGAGTCGTCCCTGTGTAGTGAGTCACATCCTAAGATTGCTTGTAGGGGCGCTTCGCTTTGCCGCCATAGCCGTTTTATCTACTAGTGTTTGTGAATTGGCTTTTGGTATGAAAGTCCGAGTCGTTGAGTGGACTTGAGTTCAGTAGTCAGTAGTGGTCGGTCGAATGCACGGAAAGTATGGTTATGGAAAAAGTTGCGTTTGGTTAACTTTCTTCTTATTAGGTTTTTCACAGCGAGAAAAATCGGTTTCCAACGGCGTCATCGAATAATTTCATATTCGTGTTAAAACCGGCTATTTTACGACAGGTCAGGTAGATAAATATTTTGATCTTTTTGACCGTTTGGTATTCGCGTGACACACCTCCGAGAAACTTTTTCTTTTTTTCGTGTGAAACAAACGAATAGAAGCATAGTTACGTTCTGAATATTCGTGAACATTATTTTTTATACCGTCGTATCGAATTGTGATTCAGTGTTATGACGTATCGTGACAAGAATAATTCTTAAGAAATACTAATCGAGTGTTCTCATGACAGTGTGAAATATAAAATGTTGTAACAGTGGTATTCTTTCTTTCAAATATATCATTTTATGGCGGGAAATTGAACTTTGAAGAAGCGGACGTCACCAAGTACGTTAGACAACCAGCATAATTATCTTTTTATAATCATGCCAGAGTTCTTTTTTTCTTTTTTTTTTTTTGTTTTTCCCCTGATTTTCAGTTTGCCTTATCTCTAATGCATTTTATTTTGTTTGCATACGTCATACGCTACCGCTATTTTAAGTAAATCACTCAGTGAATCTTGATAAGGTATAGATGGCGAATTTGGCGGTGGATATACGTTTATGCAAATAGATCTTCGACAAGTCATTTTGTGTTCTGTTCCTCCCATTGTGTTTATATTGCCAAATTCACGAATCTTTTGGCTGTGTAACTTGCGTAACAGAAATGCGATTCATCTCATTAGAAGTGTTGAGATAGACACACTGCATCCCGTGTAATCCCCCTACACATATGTACATACGCACATGTAAAAACTTGCTTTCTGATAATTGCTTTTTTGCACGCTTCTTTCCATCGTCAATCACCAGTTTCATTATTGAGGATGAGTTATATTAGTTTTTTTATCTTCGGTTTTCAGCTGGCCTCTTCCCTCTCTGTGCGATTATTCTTTGGATATCGAGTTTTGAGTTACGATTAGAGACACATTCTTATTTTATTCGACGACGCGGAGCTCACACAGTTAATCCATAACTCACCGCTACCTGACTGTGTTACCTCTGAGAATTCTTTGGAATTTCGGCCCTCCCGGAAGGCGATGCTTTCTATCTTCGTTCAACGATTCGATTAGAAAGATTTCGAAACGTTAAAAAAAGCTACACAAATGCCGAAATCGGCAGCCAAGTGGACATTCTGGAGGTCTCTGTCATATTATTAGACTGCAGATGTTCATGCATATTCATACTTTCATAAATTATTAATTAAAAAGAATGAAACTTAAATAAACACTTATATTATCCATTACATAATATAACATATAATTCACTTTGGGTATCTCGTGCGGTTTTGCATATTACGCGCGTTTTATATAATTTCCGCTTTTAAATTTCCCATACATGCATAAACATCTGTGGAACGTATTATATTTTATTTCCTCGAAATCAATATATCAGATTGATTTAAATACGATAACGTCAACTCGTCCTTTTGAATAATACGACGATAAACACTATTCCTCATCGTTCTTTGTAGATTTTTGTTCGTTGCAATCATAACAATTGCATATTATTACTTAATCTCGTGCTGATTAAAACTTGCGACTGATTTTTTAACCCTGTTTTACGACGTTTTTGTCCTTTGTTTATTGTTTCTTTGATCTATCGATCGATCATTTCTGTTGCTGTTTTATTGCGTGTATCGATCATCATTAAAGCAACGCATAATCGACGCACCCGATTGGGATAGTCTTGATAATTTGAAAATGTTCCATTCACGTGCGTTGAGCTATGTAGTATAATTTTACTGCAATCGATCGAACTTAGTTGTGTAATACATAAAGGTGTGCGCGTATTTCAGTAAGTATATCGCGCTATATCGTGCATGTGTACTTACAGTGTGATCACACAAACGAATTATACAGTTTGCCAAAATATTTCCTGTAAGTCGCAAAAGTAAATTAATTCGATCGATTAACTAATTACCATGCGTGATACATTTAAGCGTAACCTTTTTGCCAATTTTATTTCCTATAATTGGTTTAATAACATTTATAAATTTCAAGATTTAGCAATTACGTAAAGATGTAAATTATATAAATTACACATACATAATCGAACACATTGATATTTTCTATCGCAATGTCAATTTGATAACAACATGCGAGTAACTGCTTGGCGTACCACGTCGCGATTAATCAGACGATAATGGACTTATCAGTTTAAGGTAATAAGAAATACTTGAAATCTGTAATGAGTAACTTCTTCGTTCGAGTCTCGCGGCGAATAACAGGAAATACGATTTACTTTCAAACGGATATAAATCGCGTTCCGTTGGTAACTCTCAAAGATAAAACAGGCGCCGATGCGAGTGATAAAATAGCTTTTCGTTGGCAAATAATTTTTTTTTTTTACCTATACTACTGTCAGTACTGTCATTCGCGTGGCGCGCTCACAAGTGTCAGCACGAAATATGCTATCGTTCTAAGGTTTTTCTTATCAACGGTGCCAGTCGAATCGTCGTACTTCTTCGCATTTCTCATGAAGTGTCTCAATTTTCTTCGAATATTTATGGTGTCGGTACATTTGCGTTATTTTTTTTTTTTTAATATATATATATATACATATATATATAAATGCACACGTAGTACACACGTAGAAAAAGAAGAAAACTAAGAGTCGAGTCCCTTCTCCCCCATGGGATGAGAACGTGATTGACGATCGATTACCATTTTAGAAAGTGCAAGAGGCCCGTCGGCGAGGAGAACGAGGAGAATAAGAAAGGAAAACGGAAACGAGCAGCGGAAATAGAGATCGAGGTGTCGACGAAGGAGAAAGAGGTTTCGACCGTGGAAACCAAACGGAAAACCATGGAACACACGGTCACAAGATGCGACGTCCGTTTACCAAAAGTCACACCGATCACCGATGACTATGAAATCAGTAATCACGTGCTTGGTCTTGGAATAAACGGAAAAGTTGTTCAGTGTTATGACAAAAATACCAGGGAAAAATATGCGCTCAAGGTGAGATAACGATCAATGATTTCTTCCGTGGAATCGGTCATTCTTTTTAATTAGTCTTCGTTGGTTATTCCGTCGAATCGGTCGTTTTTTTTTTAATCAGTCTGCGTTAGCTATCCTGTGAAAAATTACACATGCGTTTGTCTTTTGTATATACGTATACGAGAAAGTGGATGTAACCTTCCGCATGCAACGCGAGACATGCGATTTTAGCCTCTCAACGATTCTTCAGTCGCCAAATAATTTTGTCTAAACTTCGAGTTTTTAACAACAAATTGTTTAACGTTTCATCTCGACGCCTATCAGGATATCGTAGTAGAGGCGTTAAAAGTAGCCATAAATTTTTCTAAATTTTTCAAAGCCTCGAACACGTTAGAAACACGATCTTAGGTGCTCTACCGTGGTACGCTGTGTTAGTAAAAAGTAACTTGCACCCGGAGGGCTAATTTTGCGTTAATGGACTTAATTTTAATGGAACGCGAATACGAAATGGGCAAATACGAAAGCTTCGAAACACCGAAATAATCGGGTTATTTAGTTCCTCCTTTGTTCACGGAAATGGCGCTATACGCGTATTACGGTGCAAGCAGAGCCGATCGTATCCTTTGGTTTCTTTATATTCTACTTTACTGTGCGAAACTACCCGGGAGCTGGGAGACTCGATTAAAATTTCACGCACGAGCAATAAAACGTTGTGTACAGGCGTGTAATTACAAAAGCGGCATGTATGACGACACGTGTAGGTTGAAAACGTCAGACATATTATTTTTCATATTGCTACTCGATTATACCGACCGAGATAAACGTAACAGGGTTTACGAACGTTTCGATTGTTATCAGTAGATATAAAAGCAATATATGTTTCGTACGTATAAGTGTAATATGACACATCTGGCCTTAGTTATTTTTGGAACATGCGGAACGATGCTCCAAGGATGTACCGGATACCTTATTCGATGCGTGTACATTTTTACGCATATATAGGATCTGTCAGAGATGTACGGTAATGTCGCGTTAATTGTTCGCCGTTTCACTTCTTTAGCCGGCTATCGCTATCCCCGCCAATTCTTCGTACCGTTTTCGTGAATGTACCTCTGGCGTTATGTTTCTAAAATAAACAAAGGTATCGCGTACTTGCATCTCACTCGCACTCGCCAGGGAAAACAAATGTTTGAAATTTCCTAGAAATATAGCCACCTCGATAACTGGCCAGATAAGGTTCCGGATCGTGGCCAGTTAACCAAGTACTGCTGTATCGATACCCACTTAGCGGTGCTAAAGTATGATCATCGACTGACGGTGTCCAAGCGAGTCCAGACCGCGAGTCATCTTCTATTTATACTCGGTGATTTCCCATTCGACGATTCCGACCATGCGGTGTATCGTTCGAAGTCTGTTCGTCTCTCTTATTTTCTCTGTATCGCCTTGGAAAAATTTCGGGGATCCTTGTGTTTTCGCCTTTTCGCGGTCGGTTTGTTGTTCTTGCAACTTCTCGCGCCGTCGTTCCCGCACAGAATTCCAGGGGCAACTGAACAAACGCCAAATGTGAAATGTCATCGCGATCGTAAATATCATATGAATCATGGAATCAATCGCCGCGTGTCTATGATAAAAGTATCGGCGAAGGTAACAAGGAGTTCAGAGTCGCGATAACTTTGTCGCGACTTATTAAATATTTTAACACCAACGCGCGTGTAACCGTTAAAGATAGTTTTATCAGTTTTTAAATTTGAAAAATAATTTAAAATAGGTTTTGAAAGAAGCATCGATTAAAGGCGTACGTACGTACATACATAGAATGTCAACGACCGATTACGTGAATCATACGATGCCACACGCGCGACATATGCCTTGCTAATTTAGGAGCTGTTCCTTGATAGATTTTTCTCGATATCAGCGATATTTTAAAGAATCAAATTTGAAAAAAAAAGATAGGCTTCGATATCTTTTCGTAGATCACACTTTGAATACATCAATCAGTTAGAAGTTATAATATATACGTATATGTACCATATATAGTCAATGACGTATCTCCTGTCGCGCTTTAACATATCAAAGTATAATATATTTATGTGCTATTGTCTACTTTCTGTATTTATTTTCCTTTCATCGATTTAGTACGCTCTTTTCTAATAATAATCTAGTTTCTTTCTCTGTAAACTAGAAAGTAAACGCGCGATTGGGATATGCAAACATCTGATATACAGGGTGGTTGGTAACTGGTGGTGATACAAGCGGAAACGGGGTGATTCTACGCGAAAAAAGAAGTCGAAAATATAGAATAACAATTTTAAAATTTTAAAATCTGAAAAATTAAAAAATAACGTCAATCGGGACGATCTACAGCGCGATCCGTTATAACGAGACGCGATAAAGTGCACGCGTACCGAGCGAAAATTCAAAGTCGATTTTCTCGAAAACAGAGCCTCGAACGAAAAATTTTTATTCCACGTTTTCGACTTCTTTTTTCGCGTAGAATCACCCCTTTCCGCTCGTACCACCCTGTATATGCTGTATAATTGTGACTGTATAGACAAGAACAGCTTGACAAGTTTCGACGGTAATATGTCATTATTTATACTTATGTATGTAGTATCGATGATCTGGCGTTTGCTTGTATAAAAACGATCAATGCTATCAAAGGTATCGACGATCAACTAATCCAACATCGAAAGATTAAAATACGTTTCTTGTCATAAACCAACTATCGATAGATATTTGTCTTTTTTCTACGTAACATGGTAGTTTCGTAGCAACGCGTAAAGGTGTGTAGGTCATCACGATCGTATCTGTCACAGATATTACTCAATTCCCTATCGATTTTCGATACAGACGATATCTTAACGAAAGGAAAAAAAAAGAAAAACTGAAAGAAGAGAGGAAGAAAAAAATTCAGCAAAGAAAAAAAAAAGAATTTAATTCGTATATAGCGATTCGTTTCGAATTAATGGTTAGCAAGCAGAGCGGAATTTAAGGATAATTAATCGCGTCGAATTATCGGGACCGAATGATTGGAAACGAGTCGTATAAATCGGCAAAACGGTTTAAATTACGCGGCATGACCACGAACAGATCCAACGGTAATGGCGATAATTCTAAGTCGCGCGCTCTTAATTATCTCTTTATATCAACCTTCGAATACTTCCGATTCAATGTTAAATCGATTCGACGCCTTTGCCACGCGATAATTATAATTGTCGTCGATATGGATCCATAATACGATTTTATTAATGCGAAATGTTTTTACGCGTGTCATTGAAATAATGATTTTTGTAGGACGTGTGGTGGTCGCTATACGGTGTAAGCTGATACCAATGTATAGATTCTGGTAATACAAGAAACAGCACCTTGAGGCATACCCGAGGAGAAAGTCAGAGAATCATATTTCCACGCGTATCTTCGCGTAGCTACAAAAAAAAAAAAAATCAATATTTGCGAACGATGGCAGGAGCCGATGTCGCAAGCAAGCGTTCCTGTTACGAATTTGATTTCGTTGATTGATCGCTTCGGATACGATCGGTCGGACCGTTGTCACCATTGTTTCGCGTCTCTTTGCCTTGACTGTAGCATTCCGAGAATACTTGAATTTTTATTCCTTCGTTCTTGTACGAACGAACGGTTTCTGTATTTCTGCGATCCGTCAGTAGAATCTCAATAACAGGAAATCAGTGACGAAAATATCGTTGCGATTTCTTTTTATAAAAAGATTCTTTTCTCCTTTGCGCGTAAACTTGATGAAAGTGTCGAAACGTTTTATACGTTTATTACGTTATTTATGATATTGATTACATAAAAACGTTATATAATTTGTATAATTAAGGTGAGAAAAGGGGGGAAAAAAAGAAGAACAAACGATCAGCTGTATTGCGCGTTTCTTTTTCTGCGTAAAATACGCTGGTGTAGGCTGCTGAGCATAATCTGATCGCACAGCCTATTAATAATAATCCTACGAGTTCAGTTATGCGTCTGTTAGCCATCGTAACAATGGACATGTCACTTTGTGCTAACGCTAATCACATTACCGCGGAATAATACAAAACGGTCGAATGCTCGTGAGCACGTAACCAATGTATTTTCATTTACAAGGGGAGCATAACAATCGTGGAAAATCCTGCAAATCGAAGCGCCTTGACGATTATACGCTGTTCAGCGATATCGGAGAAATCCACTTGCCCAGGAAACAGTCGATTTTTCGTACTTTAAGCACAAAAATTTCAATCTGAATTCGACGTTCTGTAAATTGGAAAATGTGAGAATTTGAGCGATCCTTTGTTACGGTCTCGCTTAACGCGAGGCAAGTTTTATGTGCAAATGAACGTATCTTCTTATGTAACGAGTTTTTCGCAGAGGTTTCATTTATACGCGAGAGTTGTCTATTTCATTATCACCATCGATACAGCAACTTCAAGTCGAAACCGGTTTCGACCTTTTCAAGCGCGTTCCGCAGGTTTTAATTGTATTTGAACATTTTTAGAACGCCCGATGTATTCGATGCTCTAAAAATACTACTCAACCGTGAGACACTTTTTCCGCCCTTCTTTTATCTCGCAACTTTATATCAGCGCCATATTTTTCACGACCTGTATTTTTACGAACTGATGCATAAAATTTACACGCCACAGATATTGCAATCTTTGAGTTTATAAATATTCTATAGCCATTGAACGCGAAATGACAATATTTTAATTAAGAATAACGCTCGCTTTGTGTTATAAAATGTACGAGAGCAAAAGGAAGAAACAAACTAAGTGGAAACGAAATGAAGTATTATACTAGTGAAGAATTCCAGTTTAACATGGGTGTTGATCGATGTTACTTAAATAAAGGACATTTGTACTGTGCCAATAGCGACTTTGTAGCGTTAGATAAAACTTTTGTTTGCTCTGCCAAGTAATTCTTTGAGCTGAACGTTACGAGCTGGTTATACATACGACATGTTTCCAATACTAATATTTTTTATTATTTTACGTATTCACAAACATAAGGTTTTTTTTATCGGTTGGAAGATGGAAGACATTTAAATTTCGAATAAATTATATGTGATACATATACATACACGTAATATATTTTAATTCGACGGTATAAATTAAAAACATTGTTAGTAAATTAGAATATTACAATACTTTAAAACTACGTTGTACTCATCGATCCGGACTATCGTACATTAACTCAAGAATGTTAGGTCGCGAACCACTACATAATGCAATAAGTTTTATCGATTTAACGATGGAGTCAGCTGTTTTTAGGTCGTTCACCGGCGGTTTTTAAAGCGAATATACGAGTATCATACGCGTGTATAAAATTCATACGCGTTCCATCGCGTATTCTTTTACCTATTAAATATTGTACGATGCTATACGATACTGCCAGTCACTATATTATCACTTCTAATGTCTATTCATTTTTATCTTAACAGATTACGTCACTTCATTTATTCAAGGTTTCGTGTAAATCTCCCATAGCCTCGAAATTTTTATAAGCTGTACGCAATTGCTATATTTTGGAATTGTTGAATTTAATATTGATATTTTGTTCAATTTTGTGCTTATAGGTACTGTACGATTGTGTAAAAGCACGAAGGGAAGTTGAACTGCATTGGAGAGCATCGAACTGCAGGCACATAGTGCAAGTCAAAGATGTATATGAAAATACATATAGTGGAAATAAATGTTTATTAGTTATTATGGAATGGTAAGCTTGTAAATACTTGGACTAAGTGATTTTATCGTATAAACGATATTAACGAGCGATATTGAATAATAAGTTTCATCGACTTTTAGTATGGAAGGAGGAGAACTGTTTGAGAGAATACAAGATAGGCAAGATGGTGCTTTCACAGAGAGAGGTAAACTAAGTTAACGTATTATATTTTGATGATGTATTTAATGTAAATGTAAGAAACATTTTCTGATTATCTTATGTAATTTTTGTATAGAAGCTGCACAAATAATGTATGAAATTTGTGTTGCTGTAAAGCACCTGCATGATATGAATATTGCACACAGAGACCTTAAGCCGGAAAATCTTTTGTACTCTAAGCCTGGTATGTAAATAAGTATATTAAAGCTGAATGAATCATAGAAATGTTTAACATACGTTGAATTGTACTGAATCGAATTTATACGTCGATTGTGTATTTCGTTTTTAGATAGTACCGGAATATTGAAACTTACTGATTTCGGTTTTGCGAAAGAGACCCATATGAAAGATACGCTACAAACCCCGTGTTATACGCCATACTATGTTGGTAAGTTGTTTTTCAAAATTCTAATTTTATTTTTAACCAACTTAATTGCGCAAGCATATGGAAATAACAAAGCAGATATTTTTTCTGGTTTATATAGCTCCTGAAGTTTTGGGACCAGAGAAATATGACAAAAGCTGTGATATTTGGTCACTTGGAGTTATAATGTATATACTGTATGTAACTATTATTCACGAATAAATATTTTAAATTTATATATAGATTCTGAAACGTATCAATATTTTATAATATTTTAGATTGTGCGGTTTCCCACCTTTCTACAGTAATCATGGTTTAGCTATTTCACCAGGGATGAAAAAAAGAATTCGGTTAGGCCAATATGACTTTCCAGCCCCTGAATGGTCTAACGTAAGCACAGAGGCAAAGAATCTCATCAAGGGTATGTTGTGTACAGATCCAGCTCAAAGACTTCAAATCGACGAGGTTATGCGCAACAAATGGATTGCTGTAAGAATTCTGTTTCATTATTGTCAATTCATGCGTTGTACGGTCGCAAATATAGATCATTGTCTGTTTTATATATAGCAATACACGGAAGTACCCCCCACGCCTTTACATACTGGTCGCGTACTCCGAGAAGGCGAAGAACTTTGGCCAGAAGTTCAAGAAGAAATGACACGGTCATTAGCTACCATGCGCGTAGACTACGATACGGCCAATTTGAAACAATTAGATCACACAAATAACGCGTTATTAAACAAACGTAGACGAGCGAAACAAAAAAACGCTGTACCACCGGCTGCTAATCCTACGCCAGCATCCTAGGGAGACGCAATAAGAGCCAGTCAACACTGGCGTGTCTTTTTACGAAGATGTATAAGGTATAGTGTAATGACCATGAGAATTGTTTTTTGACAGTTACATAATGTAAAATATAAAAAATTCCTGCAGAATAGTCTTGAAAAAATCCTGCCTACGTCGAGATATTAGGCGCATAAAGTTGTATTTGACCATGCAATTACGACAATTTACTACATCTTAAATATTTTTAAAATGCTATCGATCGTAATTGCCAAATTTGAATGACAGGAGCACGGTTGACATAATAATCGAAGGATATTTTACCAGTTATGGTGCATTTTACGCGACTTGAAAGATTTAATAATACAGAAAAAAGTACCAAGGATTAAAAATCAATCTGATACGACTAAATAATGTATATTGCAATTTATATTTATTGATGAAACGTTGATAAGGAAAACGTTTTGTCATCGGTAACTGCATATATAATAAATTCATATTGAAAAGAAATATAAAAAATATTTTTCAATTTTAAATGGAATGTTGGACTTCATAATGAAGGTCTGTTATCTAATATAAAAGAATACGCCACCTAATTAGCAGCTTTTGATTGATTTACTTAAAATTTAAGTCTTAAATCATAAATTATAATGCTTGGCAATTTTTATGTGTATAGTGTTTCCTTAAATTATTAAACTACTATTATTTATCGTGATTGACGTATAAGACAAAAATACATCATGCCAATTTGTATTAGTATGTTTTTTCAGTTGTTATCTGTGTACAGTTACAATTCATTCAAACTATGAAAATAACGTTTAATTAAAAAATAATGCAAACATGTGTAATGTACTTTTAAGTGATATTTTGACTGAGGCTGAATACGTGTAAGAATCCTTATAATCGTTGCAAGGTGCTAACATACGTTGCTCTAATTATTTCGTAGGTATTAAAACAATACTACAATTTCCTAATTTTTTAAATAAATAAAATTTATAGTAAAAGATGGAACTTAGGAACAAAGATGTACACATTACGATATAAATGTAGTAATTATATTTTTTTAGATGTATTGTAAAATAAAAATTGAAATTTAGACTAAAGAAACGCCTTAACCAACGTCAGATCAATTTTTAGCTTAATGTTTAATTAGCATAATTAAATATTTCAGTTAGGTACAGATCCAGTAACGTGTAAGGTGAGAGGTGATGAAATCTCATGAATGTATCATTGTTTCTTCTGAGGCGACGTCTATGTTATGAATGTAAATATTATATGTACGAAGTATTTTTAATAAGATACTTGTAGTTGAAACTATGATTATTCATATTACCAGCAGCTCTCCATGATAAGTATTAGAAACGTTTAATAGATGAAAATAGATCTTGTGACTGATAAATAACGAGAAAATTAGGCCTTAATTGTTTTCACAGTTCTATATCATTGAATTGTTTTCAGAATAATAGAATTCTAAACTAAGTACTATATTTAGTAATATACTTATTATTAAATAATAGATTATTTTAGAATCGTGGAAACAAGACTTCTTCGAAATAAACATTATGTAATGGTTCAGCTTCTAAACCTCATTAAAAATAATCAAACTGAAGGTCAACTAGTTGTATACGAAAACTGACGCAAACTTAAAGAAAGGACGATTCTACACTACAGTTTTAATAATACGTTTAATTTCAAATATCATATAAACGACTGTTGCATTATTGTACTTGATAATACCGAAATAGTACAAGTGTTGTTTACGATTTTATAGATTAACATTATTAGAAAACGAAAATAAGTATGCGTGCTTTGAGTTGGACTATAGTATCGAAATATTTTTGTAATCGATTCAAGTATATTGATTTGCACTGCATTTATAAAACTTGACAATAAATGTAAAAAGTATCCTTAATTAATGCAATGTCAGTAAATCTCTGTTTGGTACAGCCTTTGTCCACTGTATAAGTGTCACTTTATTGCTACGAGTAAGCGTAGCGCGAGATACCTTCGTATAACACGTGTTTTATAACGAAGTATTATCGACGTGTATAATTTGCTTTCGATAAATAAAAGGAATAATTTTGAAAGTTCAATAACAAGGTAAAAAATTGTATTATTGATATAACTGTGATAAATATATAAATAAATATGAACAAGTAAAAAATTAAATTTAAAAATAATGTTGTGTATGATACATTTCGAAACACGGAACTATACATAAGCCTACATTACATTGTTTACAACAATATCTTGAACAACGTCTTTTATCAAGTTTGGCACATACGACACATCTACGCATTGGATTTTTTCTATTAGCTTTATCACTCTTATGCAAAGTTGGAAAATGTCTTTCTGTAAGACGTAAAAGGCTTTCGGATCTAAGAGGAGACACTGTCCCCACTGATCGAGGATACGATTGTAAAAGTTCCGTAATTAATGCTAAATGAAATTCGGACATTGATAGAACCTTTTTGGTCTTGAATTTATATAAACAATACGAATTCCACACCGAAAGATCCAATAAATGAAAGAATAATCTTTTGTGCCACTGTAAGGTATTCTTTGTGCATTCAACCGTGTTTATTATACGGTTAGTTTCACTAATAATTTCCATTGATTTACTGTAATCTAATATACACGTAGGCTTCTGTAAAACTTCACCTGTACGATAATTTATCTTTCTAGTGTTTCGATATTCCGCTGAATGACTCGTGGATAACATCCAAACTTCGTGTTTGCTCTGCCATTTTAGTGCAAGCAAATTACCCGATGACCGAAAACTTGATTCTCCACTTTTTAATTCTTCTCCCATTTTCGGCATACCTTCGCGTTGCTTTTTTACTGTTCCGCATGAGTTTGTAGTACAATCGTGCAAAAAGTTGAATAGTGCGGGGCTTGAGAACCAATTGTCGACAAACAATTGATGACCTTTTCCTAAATACTGTTGTAGCAAGTTTACCACAATGTTGCCTGATCTACCGAATCTTTCAGAAAATGTATCAACGTCAGAAATAGCGCCGGTATAAACGATAAAATCTAAAACATATCCCGTCTTACAATCGCACAACACAAACGTTTTTATTCCAAGTCTACTCCTTTCAGGTTTGTATCGTTTAAATGACAATCGTTTTTTGTAAAGCATATGACTCTCATCAATACATAAGTTCTTGAAGGGACAAAACGATTTTTTGAATGTTTCGCGCAGTTTGTCGTAAGGTTCACGAATTTTTATTAGTAGGTTTTTAGACGTCTCTGATCTTTTGTCGCTAAAATGAAGCACCTTTTGTAATGCGACATATCTATCTCGTGCCATATGTTTACCAAAGACATCTGTTCTAATAATTTCATTGGTACTCCAATATTCATTGAATGATAATTTTTTTAAGCGCGACATTGTCAGCGTCAAAGCAATGAAACGATATAATTCGTTTATCGTAGTGTCATGCCACTTTTTCAGCGAGGGAGGAATGTTGTCCAATTGTTCGACTGTACATCGATAAAAATTGTTCGTTGTGTTCGTTATATGTGTCATCAAATCCTCGGAAAAAAATATTCGGAAATAATCTATGATTTGAGATGAATAGGTAATATTCTCTGTTATAGTTCCAGAATTTCTATCGTCGAACGTATGTATTTGAGGTTTTAAATTCGCATGCAACCACTTTATATTTGAACTACGGCTCTTTTCTTTGGTTATTTCTGCTTCTGAATCAGACGAATTAAAAACTCCTGCCCGTTCGACATTTCCACTGTTGAGGCAGGGAACGATGTCGTTTTCGCTTGATGAATCAGAATACATTGTGTACATTGTCTACAAATTATTTACAATTTGAAATAAAGTCTGAACGATTAAACTTGCAAGCAATAACGACAAGTAGTTATATTATGTAGCGCTCATATTCCGCCCAACTGTAATAGGTACTTATCTAAACCGAGAATTTGTATAATAATTAACTAAAGTTGACAGTAGGCTGTATATATGTATGCTTTTAGTGATTACTGACTTTAGCTGAAAGTCAATCGTGGGAATACATTCGGCGACTGTCGACTATAGTCGACGCGCGTACCCAAGAGGTTAATTATTCAATTGTACTCTGTATTTTAATTACTAATTTAATAATAGAATTATTATAAAAATTCGTTAAACTGTAGTTACAGAGAAATAAAAGAAATATACAGTACCAAGAATATTAAAATCACTAATATTATTTCTTTCATCTCTATCTTTAAAATAGATATAAGGATTTAAACTAATTTTTAGATCAAACTTTAACTCATCAAACTCAAATATATCAAACTTTGTCTTACAGTGCCTATACTAATTAGATTTGCTCAATGTATAATCAATGCATTTATATTTTTCTTTCTATATTATATTTTTAAGTCTACTTAAAGCTTTCTGTGCAAGTTATTCTAAAAAAAATGACATTGGTATTATTTATAGAATTTACTACCATATTAAATGTCAAGACTAATGTTCAAAATATATAAATATATATTTACATGTACAGTATAAATAACTTACTTAAGCTATCTATGAGTAAAGTAAATCTTATACAATCATTCTATTACAACTCATTATTTGAATTATGCTACCATATTTCATACATTATTCAGTGAACACGGACATGTTGTGACACAAGTATATTTTATTGCAGTAATAAAAATACTTTTTAATCCATGCTTAACTTTACAAAAATAAATAGGAGCTAAAAGAGAATCCGAATATTATAGAAGACATGTAAATATTTCTTGTCTCATATTTAAACTTTATGATTAATTATAAACAATTTGTAAATAAAAATTTTACAAATTTTTATGATAATATATCTCTCATAAGTTATGAAAAATATGTATAAAGAAAATTTCATCTCTCTACTAATAGACGATCTCTTCGTGTCAAATTTGGGGGATAAATTCATCTAAATATGATCAGTAGTAATTTTTGTTCCAATGTTATAAATAAAAATGAGTCACATATGTATAAAAAAATTTGTACGATTATATTTTTTTGTAACAGGAATACCATATACTTTTAGTATTATGTACTTATTATATACTTATAGTATGAAACAACATACTTGTTAAAATGTATCAAATACAAGTAGTATTTGTAGTTTTTATGCTTCATAACGTTTAAAAATTTATATACTAGATTTACTTGAATTTATTTTTTATTTAAAAGCATTTATTTTTTTTATGTAACTTACAAAACCAAACACTGTATATTTATCATTTATATGTTTGTTTCTTGTATACATTGTATACTTACACGTTTAAAAGAACAATTACACACAATTGGCTTTGCACACCAAATTATAATTGTTCCTACACAAACTACGCTTCATCTCTATAACATTAAATGCTACATCATACATGATCTTTATCATTAATTTCTGACAATATCTTCGCGATTTAAGTATAAACTTTAATTAGCAAGGCATAAAAGTAAAAATATACTAAATTATAACATCTTATGAGAAATAACATCCTTTTTATAAATTTGCTAAGAATTATTGGAATGCAAAGGAATGACAAATTTTGGTCCAAAAGGAGACCTATATGTTATACCAACGTCTGCATATACTTCGTTTGGCAATGCAAGATTACATAAATATAATTTGCCATTGTCAACACTATGAGATAATGGTAATCCACCAAGCAGGCTACATTTACTAAGAATACCAGGTGTTCCTGTGGCTGGTGGTTCAATGGCTAAAATAGGCGCCCTATTATTATTTGCCCATTTTGCTATAGGTGTAATCATTCTTGGTGAGTTCTCGTCACAAAGTGCTACAAGTATCAAATCCACCACTGATGGCAAGTTTTTAAATTTAGTTTCTACCTTGTTTCCTGTTAACTTGTACAAAGACAATTCTTGTAGAAGAAAAACATCCTCGGAATTTTCTACAAACACTATTGTCTTAATGCCGTGACTAGATAACTGTCTAGCACAATTAACACCTGCAGCACCAGAACGATGAGGTCCACAAAGTGCAATAATCGTTGGCCACTGGTGTGCATTATTTGGATTAAGTCGATGGCTTCCTCCTAACAGTTGCAATATAATTTCTGTACCGGCACGACCAAGAAGTTCCACCTAATTTTAAAATTAGTTTGATTACACAAAAATATTGTAAGCTTCTTTCTTATATTAACTAATTGTACATACTCTACGCTCCCAACTAATACCCAATCTATCTGCTGCTCCTATTAATTGACGATGAAGGTTAAGTGTTATGCTAGGAATTATTAAACCATTGTCTGTTACATATTCTATTTCACCAGCACTAGGTACCAGTATCTGTCTAATATCTGCACGTTCAGACACAATAATATTTTCATCGTGCCTATAGTTTACTTGCTTTTGTTTCTTAGATTTTAAAGAATTTATTTTTTGCCACACAGCCTGTAGAAAGTGTACATTACTTTTAATACTATGTTAATAATGTGCTATGTAATGAAACTATAAAGAGAAAGAAGCATACCTCTTTATCAAATAGGGCTAAATTCTTTTCAAAATCAAAATCTTGACTCAAAGATTGATCAATTGGAGTACCAAATGTGTGCTCATTTCTTTGTTTACTACTTAATTTTTTTTGTATTGGTTTATCAATAGATTCAGCTGAAAAAGCAAATTATTAAAAATGCTTTACATTTACTTATTATAAAAAAAGTTAAAATTCTTCGCTATTATACCTAATGGAATTTTCCCATTTGCAGGTTGTTCTATTGTGGATTGAGAATTATTACTTGGCTTCTTAATATTAGTTTGCGTTTGTGATGATGTGGATTGAACAGAAGATGAAACACTTTCGGAAAATGATCTACCAGCTCTTTTGGCAATAGGTCTCTTTACAGTTATATTATTCTGTGCTTGATTATTATCACTCGTATCACTACTGTCGAATCCTATATTATTAATTGATATAAACTCTACATTCAGTATATCCTTCGCACTAAAAATTAAAAAACAATCTGTGCTTAATTCTACGTGCTTTATTTAATGTTCTTATTTATAAGGAAATTGATCAAATTCTCATCACTAAACAATACCATAATACAACTATAGGTGAACTATGAGGAACTCCGTTACAAAAAGCTTTTGAAAGTATAATACAATCCTTATTTAAATCCACTATTTGTCCTTGATAAGTTCCAACTTCTTCGATACACTTTACGGAAACTGTACAGCCCACAAATTGTTCTGACATCTTGATTATCAATGTAGCTGCACATAACAGATTTATAAAAATCATACATCCTCTACGAGGTCTTACTTAAATGAAACTAATTGTTTTATGTGAGTAATGATTATAGAAATATGTTAACATAGTAACAACAGTAAATATTTTATGAATTAGACGATTAAAAGTTCAAGAAAATCGGAATTTTTACAAAAACAATTATGAAAACAAAAATCATACAAACCTAATATAGATGATTAAATCTAATCTAAATAGATTTTTATTATTCGGCTAACAATGATTACGGTTAATTTAAAATTCTATTATTATTTTGATGTTTAAAAGTATCAAACATATGACAATACATTCATTAACGTGGAATACCGGACATAATTTCCGTATATTTTCATACTATTCCTATTCTAACCCCACACCATTTGTAAGAACCTACAACGCGCTATATGAAAACGAAACATACCTCGATACTATTGGTTCGTTCCTCTTGTGATCGATTTTTCACTAAAAAAATACTAGAGATTTTCAAATATTTAAACTACTGTTTACGCTATTACATAGCAAATATTTTATGAAAAAAATAAGTATGAATTTTATTCAAATATAAAAAAGTTCACAGAAGATAATGTATAAAATAAAATGAAAAACTATTACTGAAAAATTTAAGTGGTACATTAAAGTTATTGGTTGTTGTTCTTTGCCATTCTTTAACATCCGATAAAGATATTCGTAATATGCATTCTGATGTTTTTCATCATTTATTATGTAGATAATTACGTACTAATATAACTTTGCATTTTTGTGATAGCATCAATCAAATTGTGATTGACACATTGTATCTTTGGCCTTTGTGTCTTCATTTAAAATGTAGCACATATTCAACAGATAATTAAATTACTAAAAAGTGCGTAATGTTCATTTTATTATATATATAAATTAATATTTAATTCAAGATTAAATAAAAATTTATAATACTAAACTTATCTATAATTACCAATACAAATACAGCATGTTTTATATTTTATTTTAATATATTATAGTATAATATTCGCAGAATATAAATAAAGATTATGTTATATATGTATATAACACAATATTTAAAAAATGTTTTTTTTTTACACCTTCCAAATATTTTATTTTGTTTCTAAAATAACTATGCATCGTTATATATGGTTTTTACCTAAACATTTTATTTATATTTCTTATGGTTAAAAATAATAAAAATTATTATTTTAGAGAAAAACCTCTAATATATAAGATATACTAATACTTAATAATTTTATTACTCTTCTATAATTATTTAATGAAATAAAAAATTATAATAGCACACTTTACTTTGTTCTATTATATTCAATGGATCGTGCAATGATGTTGGTATAAATCCTTGTTAAGCGCCGAAGCGAATATCTTTATTATAAAGTGCCTCGGAATGTTTTAAGAGGGGAAGCGTTACGCTTTAGTGTACTTTAAAGTCTTTTCTACACGAATACGTAGGGACTGAATATACGACTACCAGCAGGAAGGAAGAAGCTACGTTAAAACTGGGAATGCCAGTTTATACACGAACATGTAAGAATAAGAACCCACAGTGAACACAAAAAAGATTCCTGTTTCGTTGTGCGTCATGACAGTCATGGCCGTCATCAGACTCTCATTGCTTATGTGAAACAAGCCTAACTGTGGGTTGTTGGTTGGTGTAGTATATTCCTTCTTCGTATACCTAAGAGGGAGGGAGCCATTACCGTGTAAAGTGTAAAGCTGTAAGGTGTAGGATATAGGGTGTAGGTGTAAGTGATCTTACGCTGGAAGTAAAACGAGTCAACGGCAGATTAACGAAACGGCGTACCTATAATTATTAAATTTTTCTGAATTTCTAATTATCTTGTATATTTTTGTTAACTGAAATTATCACACAAAATATTATGAAGAAAAGTTATA